CGCTGCCTTTTCCAGGCTGGAGCTTGCCTCTGGTGGGCCAGGAGTACCTGGAGATCCTCTCTGCCTGGTACTGCAGCTTCGGCAAGTGCTGCAAGACGGGAGACTGCAGGATAGTCAACAACATCACAGGTGGGTGCTGTGCTGTGCCCGCGGGGCCCCGGGCAGCGCTTGTCTCTGCTGCCTTTCCCTGTGCCTCTCTCTCTTTTTGTTTGCGGTTTTTTTTTTCTTTTTTCAAAAGTATCTATTAGCAAGTGATGTAAGTAAAGGGGATTTCTGATCAGGATGCTGAGCTGGTGGAAGGGTGAGGGGCTGAGATAAGTCCTGTTTCCCATTATTCATTTGTAGCGCTGAAACGACAGGAGAGTTTGTTCTTTACCATACAGCAAGTCTGCTCCAGGCTGCCACAAGCCCCCAGTAGCTCACAAGCATATGCAGTGGGATCCAAACTGGCCCAGTATGCAGCCCCAGGTCAGGAGGAAGCACTGAGACCTGTGTGTAAGCCCTGTGTAGGTGTTACTGCATTTTCTTGGCCCTGAGATTTCTGCAGTCCATACCCTCTGCTGCGAGGTCATGAGGGCTTCAGTGCTTTCCACAGTAGTCAAATATCTCCTCTACATCCCAAAGGGAAAAAGGAACTGGTGGTAGATCTGTGTCTTTTTGTGGTCAGACATGGTACAGCCAGAATCATGGAATGGTGGGAACTGGAAGGGTCATCTGGAGATCATCTCGTCCAACCCCTCTGCTAAAGCAGGGTCACCCAGAGCAGGTTGCCCAGGATTGTGTCCGGGTGGGTTTGGAGTCTCTCCAGAGAAGTAGACTCCACAACCTCTCTGGGCAGCCTGACCCAGGGCTCTGGCACCCTCAAAGTCAAGTTTTTCCTTCTGCCTGTCTTATTGACCTGTGGCTTTAGTTGCCACTTCAGCCACTTCACTCAGTCCTGTGGGCTTAGTGCTGGCCACGTTTTCTCCTCTTACTCCCACCCACAGCAGCAGCTGAGCTGGCATGTTAAGGCTGAGCTCTTGTTCTCTCCCTTCTGCAGGGCTAGAAGCAGACCTCAATGCTCAGCTCCATGGGCAACACTTGGCCAAAGAAATTGTCTTCCGGGCAGTGCAAGGATTCCTGCAGAGCCCGCGGCCAGAGAAGGCTCTGGTCCTCTCCTTCCACGGCTGGTCCGGTACAGGCAAGAACTTTGTGGCTCGTATGGTGGCCAGTCACCTGTACCGGGATGGGCTGAAGAGCGAGTGCGTCAGGGTGTTCATCTCCCTCTTCCACTTCCCCCACCACAAGTACGTGGACTCGTACAAGGTGAGAGCCAACAACACGGTGTGGCTGTGGGGAGGGTCTGGTGTACTGGGTCTGGCTGGGATGGAGTTAATTCTCCTCATGGCAGCCCATATCTTGCTGTTTTGGATTTTTGAGTGAAACAGTGTTGATAACACATCAGTGTTCTGGTCACAGCTGAGCTGTGCTTGCACAGCCTCTAGGCTTTCTCCTCCTCCCACCATGCCCCCACAGTCAGTAGGTTGGGGGTGCACAAGAAGCTGGGCAGGCACACACCGGTCAGCTGACCCCAGCTTACCAAAGGGATCTTCCATGCCACTTGCTAGCACACTCAGCAACAAAACCTGAGGGGAGGGTTTTTTGGGGTAGGAAACTGTTGCTCTGAGGCTGGCTGTGCACCCATCTGTCTGTGGTAGGTGTGAGTGGTTGTCTCTGCATCACTTGCTTTGTGTTATTTCTTTCTTCCTCTTTCTTTCACTTACTAAACTACTCCTCTCTTGACCCGGTCCTTCTCTGCCTTTGCTGCCCCTGTCCTGTGCCCCGTCCCGCCGGGTGGGAGGCCTCTGTGGCACTGAGCTCCAGCCAGGGCTCACCCACGGCACCCGGGCGCGATGACCCTGTGCGGAGACCACTGCCAGGCGTCTCACTCCCTGCTGCTCTGCAGGCTCAGCTGAAGAAGCAGATCAGTGAGACTGTGCAGCTCTGCAAGCAGTCCCTGTTCATCTTCGATGAGGCAGAGAAGCTGCATTCCGGCCTCCTGGATGCCATCAAGCCCTTCATGGCTCGCTACAGCAACAAGGGCCAGGTGGATTACCGGAGGTCCATATTCCTCTTCCTCAGGTAATTTCTTGACCCCCAAAGGGATGGGGAGGAATGAAGTGATGGAATTTATCCCCCCAGGTGTGTGATAGAGGCTCAGGCTGCAGGAATGGGGAAAGAAATGTCTATCTCTGCCAAGAGGTGGTTGCCTCCATGGTCAGTTGTATTTATAGATGCTGGGCGTTATCCCTGGATACAGGGCATTTGCAGGGGGAGATGAGGTCCATCTTAGCTGGGACACCTGAGCCTGGTGTGTAGGCTTTGAGACAAGGAACCAGTGAGGTCAGAGCTAGTGCAGCGTGCCCCTGTGCAGCTGAGCAGGGCGATCCCGTACTCCAGGGAGGAAAGCTGGGGCTGTAGGTCTTGGCAGAATGTTCTTATACAACGTGGCACTGTTAGTTGGGAATGGGAGGTGGGGAGTTCCCACTGCCAGGCCCTGGCTGCAGGCTGAAATGTCATCAGTCTGCTGCGAAGGCTGATCCTGGCATCAGCTCATCCTGTGGTTCAGTTGGTTCCTTTCACATCCAAACACTCTTCCAGAGAAAGGACTTGGGCATGTGTGCACCCCAGTGCTGCCTCTGACTCAAGCCTGGCTGGGATGCACCTAGAGAGAGAAGTGAGACATCTCAAAACCCAGATGTGAGGTAGGCACTTGCCTGAAGTAGGCAGTGAGAAATGCTGAGGGGAGATAAGCACCTTGGGCCCCATTCAGTTTAGGACTTACAGCCTTCAGCTTGGCTCTGGGCAGAGCATTTGTCCTCCATCTCCCAACATCCAGGCGAGTGTTCTAACCTCCAAGCTTGGTGGCTCCCCAGGGAACTTCCCTAGAAGCTCCTCCTCTCTGCCCTTGAGGGAGCTGTATATGTGCCCTGTGCTTGTGGAGCTGACCACGGTTCAGTCCCACCTGCATGGGCCACTGGCAGGAGCCGTGGTGGAGGTGGCAGAGTCTCCCTTGTTGCTCCAGGGCAGGGTGGACGTGCTGCCAGCTGCACTGCACTGACCTTGTGGGGGGCAAGGGGGACATGAGTCCCTTTGTGCCACCAAGCAGAGGGGAGCAGGGTGCCCTGAACTGCAGCGGTGTTTCATCATACCCACTGGCAGTGTGACACAGACCTGTCATAGAAGGGCTGGCTCTGCCCCAGGGCTCCTTTGGATGCTGGCCTGGTCCTGCAGTTTTGGCCAGGTTTAGGGGATGGGCTGGGACTGGCTGCCTGTCCTCGGTCAAAAGGGGCAGTTTCTCCCATTGCCTGGGTGGGAGCAGGATCTGTACAAGCTGCTTCCAACGCTAACGAGGCAGTGGGCAGGAACCAGTGGCTTTTTAATTTTGCTTCTCCATTTGGGGAAGGTGCCCAGAGTCTCTGACAAGAGAGGAGAGAGATCATGCGAGATCCAAGTCATCCTGTGCCCCTCTGCCTCCCACCCATGTAAGCTCTGCAGCCAGCTGGTTCCCAGTATCACCAGCTCACTGGTGGCATGGGGCACTTGGGGCTGGGGGCTGTTGTCTGAGGCTCTTGCAAAGCCCTTGGGGGTTGCCTGGCCTTGAACTGCCTTCCAGGGCGAGGGGCTGCACTGGGAGCCTCGCTGGCTGTTGGGGCCTCACATCCCCCACCATGGAGCTGCCCCTGCAGAGGGTGTCCAGAGGAGTCCTCGTGTGGGAGCTGTGGTGCCTTGTCCCTTGGGCACGGCTACCACTTGAATCCCTGCCCTGAACCTTTACTGGGACTCCAGCCATATGCCCTGCCCTTTGACATGGACTTTTGGGGGTGGCTTGTTCAGAGTTTGGTGTGGAGCCAAGTGTCACCTGCAAAGCCAATGGCATCCCAGGCAGGACAGGGGACTGACCAAGGTAGAGGCTTCTGCTGGTTCCTGATCTCACCCTAGGAGAGCAAGCAGCTGCCCCAGGGCCTGAGCTGGCGGGATGGAAGGTAGCTGTATAGATGCCTATAGAAAGGGGCTTTTTGGGAAGACAGCTGGTTCCCCCATGTGGTGGCATTTCAGGTTCTGATCCTACACAGCAGAGCCTCCTCTGCCAGCAGAGTTGCTGAGGCCTGTCTGCAGGGGAGGCTGCCGGCAGCCCTCGGCAGGTCATCCCTGGGGCACCACTGAGGGACATCCCTGGGGCACCACTGAGGGACATCCCTCGCGTATCCGCAGCAATCTCGGCGGCAACGCCATCAATGAGGTCGCCCTGGACTTCTGGCGAGCGGGCCGGGCGCGGGAGGAGATCTCCATGGAGTTCCTGGAGCAGCGGCTGCGGCGGGAGCTGCAGGAGCCTGAAGGTAAGAGCCGGGCTCGCTTGGGGGGTGCTGCGGACAGGCTGCCCACAAACCTGCCCGTCTGACACCGCAGGGGTGCATCCAGGCTCCTCTGGGGACTCGGGCTTCTCTTGGCCCCAGGCGGGCAAGACGTAGTGACATTCTGTGTTCAGACCAAGGGCTGGCCAGGTCTTACAGGCCAGTGTCTCTGTCCACCCACATGGGGCTGGATGAGCCAGGACAGCCCCTCGGTGAGACAAGCCTCACCAAGCAGAGGTGACAGCTCTGGGGTGGAGCTTCTCACGTGTTTTGTCTTGTGTTTGCTGCAGAAAGCGGTTACACCCGCAGCCGCCTCCTCGAAGAGAACCTCATTGATTTCATCGTGCCATTCCTGCCCCTGGAGTACCACCACGTGAAGCTCTGTGCACGGGATGCTTTCCTGGCCCGTGGACAACCGTACACTGAGGCAGCCCTCGATGAGGTGGCTGGGATGATGGTGTTTGTCCCCAAAGAGGAGAAGCTCTTCTCTGCACAGGGCTGCAAGTCTGTATCCCAGCGCATCAATTACTTCCTTCCTTGAACGCCAGGTGGGATCACACCCGTGGTGAAGGTGGTTCAGCACACCAGGAGCTGCTCTCCTCCACAAGGTGGGGTAGGCAGGTTATGCAGCCACCCACTTGCACAGTGACAGAGACTGGAGCCCGTGTTCCTCCGAGGACTGTCTGCAGGGGAGGAGGTGCCCCCTGCCCAGCCTGGCTCCTGGGGCACGGGGACAGCCCGTGCTTGGCTGTGTTGGGAGTCTCTCTGGTGTTTTTCAGGTTCCTTCTTTTAGCAGGTAGTAGCCTGAACTAGTGGCTGGGTCGTGCTGACAGGGGCTTTGGTGTGAGCAAGTCCTTGGTTTCTTAGCATGTAGTGAAGGCCTTAGACAGACTGTGACCCTCTTGAGACAGTCCAGGAGAAAACACGTCCTCATCCCTGTCCCCAGTTTTCTCAAAACTGCACAGAGCTGTTTTGCTGGAGCTGAGGGTTTTTTTGGTTTGTTTTGTTTTTTCTTTCTGTTTCTTTCCTGTACTCACAAGGCATCTGCTGCTTAGGGACATGTGCACCAGGATCATGGTCTGTGCAGGGAGGCCCTTGAGTAGAGAAAATGATTGAATAATCTCCTCTGGAGATGTCAAATCCATATCCTCCTGCTTTGGAGTGTCCCTCTCTCTGAGTCTCTTTCGTTGTATGGAAGCAGATGTGGGGTGAGGTCTAAGCAGTTTCATAGAATCACAGAATGGTTGGGGTTGGAAGGGACCTTAAAGATCATCTAGTTCCAGCCTCCTCATTTTGGCAGAGAACCTGTTTGCTTCATTTTCAAAATGAAAAAGGGGGAGACTAATTCCCCTTTCAACGGGGAGAGTTTTTTATTTTATTTTTTCTTTTCAGTACGTTGCATGCTGTGTTTTTTTGGCTAGTATCAGCATTACTACACTACGGGGCTGTTTGCTGTCTGGGTACTTGCCAGGTGATAAGTATGTTACAGCAGGACCAAAAAATTTCAACAGCGTTACGGGAATCAGTTTGTGACCTGTAGGTCAAAACTCCCTTCCAACACAGCTGGGCTGGGGCGGCGAGGTGAAACAGCACATGCCAAGGACAGGGCTTAGCGCCCCGGACACCCCCTGTGTGGACCTTTGGTCTATTTTAAGCTTTGAACCTCTCTGTGGTGCCAGTGATGAGCAGCACGACCTCTGGGAAAAGATTGACCAGACACAGTGAATAGGCCTGCAGACTTTGAGTTGGTGCTCCCCTCCAGGCACGCCAGCTCTGTTACCTAACGAGGCTTCATAGTCCAAGGCAGGAAGATGAGCCAGACGCTGACTGCTCACCTGACAAGAAGTGGGTTTAGGCTTGCCCCTTGTCTCCAGACTGGTGCACAGGGCCTGTGCCAGAGCACGCCGTTACCAGGCTTCGCCGAGACTTGGTCTGTGGTTAATCTCTTACGGTCAAGTGCCGAGCCTAAAGCTGCAGCCTGGTAAACATCGGAGGGAGGTGCACCTGGGGAAGGGAGGATGCAGCCCCACAGGAGGAGACAGCTTGGGTTGTGCTTTATAACACAAAGTTTATAAAATTGCTAGTTAGCTAGGTGAAGGTTAGTTGCTCAGAAGGCTGTGTAATTCAGAATAACCTTTTATTTTTATTTTTTTTTAACACAGAAAAGAACCTTGAGCTGTCTGGGTTAGACCAGTGCTGCTGGGAGTGGGAGGGAGCTGTTTTGCCAGTGTGGGGCTGGTGTGAAGTTGGCACTTTAAGCAGGTCTTACTCATGACTGACCAAGAGGCAGTGGTGTTACTAACAAGGGCAACTGTTAAGCAGATGAGGCAGGGCCCTGTGCTGCCGGGTCACTCCTGTGTGTTTCAGAATTCAGTGTGCCTTTGATGACCTGACCCCACCAGCAAGAACCGCAAAAAATAACCGCTCTCCTGGACCACTCTGTGCCAACATTGTTTGATTCTAAAGGTATAAATAAAAGACACTGCTTTTCTTATCGACCTGGTAGAATTAAATTATTTCTCTTTTTAACAGGTTTATAACGATCTTATCTTTTCTACCCAAAATAAGAAACTTCAGGTTAGTGCTGAGCAGCTTCAAATATTCAAGGGGGTGGGGGAAAGATGCATATGCTCAAAAGTAGTTTTTGCCAATAAAATATTGCAACCTTTATTTAAAACAAAATGCAAATTGGCAAAACTTTGTGGAACGACAGGCAAAGAGGCCCTTCAAAGGGCCTTATTTACATCAAGTTTAACACTGTTCGCAGTTCACAGTCAGACGATAGTGAGAGAATTAAATTAGAAAAACAACCAAAATATATTACAATAACAATCAAAAACAAAAACAGTTGACAACACTGGTAGAGTGATTGGTGATTAACGTGTTTGACTTTTATCCATTCCTGCCCTCCGTGAGTTCGCTACCGATACACACAGCGTGCCGAGCCGATCGGGCTTTACCCCCCACGCGCGACAGACACATTGGGAAGAACAACTTCCTTTGGTACAGACAGCTCCCACCGTGTAGGTACTAGAAATAAATCGGGTGTCCCATACCCTCTATTGCCTACCACCAGGGAACGGGCCGTGGGTTTTGCTCTACACTACGGGCAATTGGAACGTGACCCCAGTGCCCACTGGGGCTGCGCTCGCTGAACTGGGAGGTTTCTGAATGTGCTGTAGTCGCTTCCCTTTGGTTTTCCTGCCAGCTCCTGATCAGCAGGAGGGCTGGGCTGAGCATTTTAGAAGAGAAGGCAGCAGCCTGTTACACTTGTAGAAATGATCTTCTGGATTCGCTGGCACTTGTCACAGCTGCTGATGCCCACGAGCACCGACAAGCTGAGCACACAGAGTGCCTCGGCTGCCTCAGGTGAGTGGGACAGGCGTGGGGGGCTTGGCGTGACCCCCCTGCCCGCGCTCACACCCGCTGCCTTTCAGCTGCTCCCTCAACCCAGCAGTTTTGGTGCAGCTGTTGCCCCACCCTGTGGGGTTTTGTTCCCACTGCCTGCAGACAGCAGCGTGCTCTAGAACTCCTGCCTCAGCACACCCTGCGGGTTGTCAGCGTGTGTGTGGGACTGGCGCTGACACGAGGCCAGTGGTGCTCGGGAGAAACGTCCTGTGTGAGGATGGGAAGGGACAGCTCCTCCCACCCCACCCTTCCCTGCTGTGTTCTGCATCAGAGCACAGCTCCATTCAGTTCCACTCACCCAGCAGCTAAATTTGATGCAGTCCCAAAACCCAGATTCTTAATTCAGCTTCACCCCTGTCCACACTAATGAAAAACAGGATCGAACTGAAGTGCTGCCCTTCTGGGGTTAAGAAGGGTGTACAGTGCAGGAAGGAGAGAGAACTGGGCCTGTGAGGCGGCTAATGCCCCACAGCAACCAGAAGAGAAAGTGCCCCATGCCAGCTCACCCGTGTGAGCACACGCTCCGTGCTCGGCCTTACCAGGCCCCACCTGACACCATCCCCTGTTGCAGAGATGACTCCTACAAATTCTAGTTCATGCTAGTACAAGTGAGAGAGCCTGGCCACAGCTGCACCTTTACCCCATGAGGCCTGACCATGGTGAGCAAAGCAAATGCAACAGGACTTTATGCAACAGGACTTTATGCCTTATTCTCTACCCTAAACAGTGCTCTGCTCTTCACTGGGACAAACAATGGGACTCAGCTGTCCTTGGGTCACTTTGAACACACTGTACAAGGCTGAAAGCAGAGGAGCTGCTACAGCCTTTAAGGCTGAAGTGAAAGCCAAACCCAGCAAAAGGGAGAAGGAATGGGAACAATTTTAGGAGAGTAGCTGTGAAAGGAAGAGCAACAGCGAATTACAGCAGAACCAGCTTGTCCAGGTATCATCCTTTTGCTATCCTGCCAGAGATTCCAGTTTGGGAATAAAACACCTGGGCAGCAGAAGCAGCAGCAATTCTGCAGCTTCCTATTTAGGAGAAAAAAAAAAAAATAGTGTCAACTGAGCACTACCTCTGCTACCATCCACATATCTGATGTAAGACAACAGGTAAGAGCAGAGGAAACTCCTCTCCGCAGGAGTGATGACAAGCAGATCCCTGAATTCCACCGTTTTCCCACCACAGGCGACATCAGGACTGAATGGGCTTCTGTGTTGCACACAGAGGTTGTGGAGTCTCCATCCTTGGAGACAGAGATCAAAAGCTGTCTGGACACAGTCCTGGGCAGTGGCTGTAGGTGGCCCTGCTCGGGCAGGGGGTTGGGCCAGATGACCTCTGAACATCCCTGCCCACCTCAGCCATCCTGTGACTTTAAAAGCAGATGGACTTCCTTACTTGCCACTGCCCATCCCCTCTGCCCTGGGGGAGGAGCAAGTAGGCAGCGTCTGCAAAGAAGTGGGGATGACCAATGAAGGGGAAGCAGTCCTGCACTGAGGCACAGTTAGCTTCTTCAGAAAGGGCTGAAAGAGGGGAGTTTGAGAAGCTGGAGATTCCAGGAATTGTTTGCTATTCTATCACTTTTTCTGGAGCTTTTCTGGAAGACTGGCATTCAAGGGAAAAAAAAAAAAAAAAAGAAGCTTCTTTGAAAATACTCATCAGAACTGGACTAACAGCCTTAACATCTTCTGGTTGAAATATCTTTCCCCTGAGAATCACTTCAGTGTCAGTCTGTCTGCCCTAGGCCGAGGGGTAGCATGGTGATGAAACCACATGATTGTCTGCCAGGGCAAACAGGACCTGCCCTGAAGAAAGCTCCCTTATCTTTTAAATCCCTTTGATTGTTTGATAGGCCACGTGAAGCAACACCACAGCCCTCCTTCCCCTCGCAGGTCACCTTTCCAAAGGCAGCTGGCGCACACCTTCAGCAGAGCTGGCTGGAAGAGATAAGATAAACCCCTGCACGCCCTCCGCAAAGTCTGCAAGATAACGGTTTGGTGCTCGGCGACCTTCCTGCCCTGCTGGCCCAAGGGCAAGCTGACCACCCTAGAGCAGAGCTTTGCTGGGTGGGCTGGGTACTGCTACGTCAGGATGAGTAACCTACGCTGTACTTCCAGTTGTCTCCACTTAGCTACCAGCTCACTGGAGTAAAACTGACTTGGGAGTAGTAATGAATTCACTTTAGTGCCTGTCAGTTGGGGTGCAGGGGTTCCTTTTTTTGCTTCCCTCCATTTCACTTACTTGGACAGCGAAGCTCATGTGGTCCATTTTACCTTGCATGCTGCTCCACCAGTGTGCATTCATGCATCGTGACACAACTTCATTTACCACAGACCAGTAATAAAATGAGGATACTCAGACACCAGCCCATTCCTAAAGTTTTTTTCAGGCCCCTGTCTCGCTGTGCTCCATGGAAAAAAACAGGGACGGTCACAGAGACAGCCCAGCTTGCTTCCAGGCACCAACAGGGAAATGTTTTGAGGCAGAAATGGAAGTGCCCATCTTCTAAATTCACACCTGTGCCCCAGCTCAACTCTAAATGCTCAAACAAAAAGCAGCACAGTCACACTTTAAAAACAAGTTAAAAAAAGCACTTTAGCCAAAAATAAAAGATTTAAGGTGCAAAGCAAGTGAGATCCTCTATCATCACCAATACTGTGAAGTGAGCAGCAGCATGCAGAGCAACGTGTGGTCGGTGCCAGGTATCAGGCCTGCTCTTCTCTGTCAGCTGAGCTCTTCCTACCTGCCCGTACGTTTACACCCTGGGGAGTTGTGAGCACATGCAGATCAGCTTTTTGAGGCCACAACGCTCTACAAACAGCACTAGGGCCAAAGAAGACAATGTCAACCACACGACTGCTGTCACTCTGGGATTGTCAGGAGGCATCAGACACCAGAGGCCACAACCCAGCGGGCGTTCTCCAAGGCAGAGCTGTAACATTTGTTGTCACAGCTCAGGAAGTTTACGTGAGCGTTCCCTCCGCGACAGCATGCGAGTCTGGTCTAGCATTTAAAATACAGGAATAGATAAAAAAAAGATGGTTGTGGTTCCCCCTGCTCAGCCTCACACGCGGGGATGCTGAAAGCCTGGGGGAGCAGTGAGCACCAGAACAAACCTCGGGACGCCGTCAGCAAGGTGTCAGTGTTACACCCAGAGTGGGGCCAGGCCCGGGAGCCCTGCAGCAGCGAGGGCGTGGGGGGCAGCTGGGCTCTACTCTGTCTCTCCAGCTGGCCCTGCAGTGCTGTGACTGCTAAAGGAATGTGGAGAACAAGCCAGAGGCTTTGCCTTACCTACCGTGGGTCCTCAAGGTCATGAAACTGAACTGGGGAATCAAACTGGCAACAAGGTAAAAACAATCTAACACTTTAAAAAAAAACACAAAACAACCCACCCACCCCAATAACAACACTAGTGAGTTGTGCAAGAGCCCCAAACTACTCACAAAAGACCATCGAGCAGCACCTGTGCTAGACCACTAGAAAAAGGTGTCAGCTGAGTGAAGGCTGTGTGATGGGGAAGGGGGTATTCCAGTGGTAAGTCTGCCCAGCATCCCTGATGCTTCCAGTACGACAACGATGAGAACATGTGGTGGATGAGGTGGACAGGAGGGAAAAGGGACGGGTTCATATATTAACTAATTTTGCAGTTCTCCTTACAGCAGCAGCAGCAGCAGCGCTGTGGAAGCCATCTGGGCTAGTGCATCCACCTCCAGCAGCTCCGAACACTGTCAGTGCATTAGACCTCCCCCTTCAGAGCTCCTCCAGCTAAGAGTGCTCGGTAGTTGGTGCCAGTGGAGCCCTGGGGCCTTTCCTTTGCCTTCTCAGGAGGCCAAAGCACACGTTAGTGCAGACAGGGGAGGAGCTGTACAGCCGAGTGGCCTGCAGCCACTCTAGTACTCCAGCTATCGCACATCAGACCATCCTTCCCAGAGCCAGAACCTGCCATCCAGTCTCCTGCCTCTCCAAGGGAGGAACAAGGAACTTCCTTCACTTGCCATACCAAGCAGATCAGCCTGACTAGGTAGGGACAAATACTTGATGTTCTGCCCCTTACAGCTTCACTCCACCCTCTCCATCCCCATTTTTTTTGAGATGAACCTGTAAACGTGAGAACTCAGTGATCTGAGGTACTTCACATAGTCAAGTATCAGTCTTTCCTTTTGAAAGCATCAGTACAGAAAAAAAGTTCCCACCCCCTCCCCGTGTGTATTTCTCTTACCCAGATTGACAGTAGCTACCTTTGCACCACATCGCTGATTTCCTGGACACATGACAATAAGTTATTAAGGACGGGGTTTGCCCCAGGGACACTGGCAGCTGCCGAGGACACCTGCAGCTCCTGCAGGCTGAGTTCCAGTTTGCTCACGGCTTCCCGGAAGGCAAATTTGTTGCGTGTATGCGGGATGCAGTCCACATAGCCTGAGCAGTAATCCAGCAGCTGGTGCCCCGTGTCCACCAGCTGGCTGTTGGGTGTGGGCTCGGCGATGGCACTCGAGAGGAGACCCGCGCACTCCAGCAGCGCCTCCTTGCTGATCTTGTCTGCGGAGATTTTCTCAGCTGCCTGTTTGGTCTTTCTCAGCGCTACTTTTGTGCCAGCTGTGCCGTTGGCCATTTTCACTGGGGAGGTGGAAGACGTTGACAGAGGCACTTGAGGTGGAGGCATCACGGGCCTCCCAGATTTCCCACCAACAGGTGCTGCTGCTGCTGCTGCCGCCGCCGCCTTCTTACTCCCTTCGCTCGATTCCAGTCCGTGCTGCGCCCCCGCCGCGTTGCTCAGCTCTTCTGCTGCATCTGAGCAGGCAGCTGGCTGTTGTAGGAGCCTCACCACTGGTGGCGGAGGTGGAGCACACTTTGGTTTTACCCGTCTGGGCCGGTCCCTGTCGCCGGAAGAAGTGACCTGATGCTCAGATAAGAGCTTAAACTTATTACCCTGAGAGTCTGTGCCAATAAGCTGCACGTCTGCTGGAGTGTGTTTGAGAGTGGGTGAGATCAGGACTGGCACTTTGTGGTTATGAGTGGTTGGAAGTATTGCTGCAGCCTTTCCTGGAGATGACCACCCCGGTCTCTCACCATCCTCAAGGGCCCCTTGCCGCAGGCCACTGGTTTTTTCTTTGCCTTTCGGAGCTGCTGCTACCCCTGGGCCCTCCTTCTCTTCTGATCCGGAGGGGGTTCGGAAAGGGAGCGCTGCGGCACCCCTCGGCAAGAGTTTTGCTTTTGGTCTCTCTCTGGTCAAAACAGGGCCTTCTTCAAACTTTTTGGGAAGCAGGTCATTGGCCCTCCCTGTACTCTCATCGGGTTGAGAGGAGGTGGACACTGTCCGTTCTAGCTGAATTTTTGATCTCTGGGAATTTCTGGGAAGGGTCATTGCCATCCTATCCTGCTCTGGAAGCCCTGAGGACATGGAAGATGTAGAGTTTGACCTTGGAAAAGGCTTTGAAGCTTCTTCATTGCCAGAGGGTTTTCCTGCTCGTAAACCTAGTGTCTTTTTAATCAAGCGTGGTGTAAAGAAACCAGTGATGCCCGACCACCCACCACCAGTGCTTACACCCCCACCACTGCTGGTACCAGTGCCATCATCGTTGTAGAAGGTCCTCTGCACAAAGCCTCCACCATAGCACTTGGGTGGTGCCAGGCTTGCGTCCTGCTGCGTGGGAGCAAAAGAGAACCCATCCACGTGCTGCAAGGAAGCAACAGATGAAAAGTTACCCGTCAGCTCATATTTCTTATGGGGCTGATTCTCCATCTCCCGGAAGGAACTGCTGCGCTTGGGAGGTGTGGGAGCATTCCTCTTCTTCATGAAGGAGCTGAAGAAGCCACCTTTTCTGTCCCTGGTGAAAGTGGTCTCTTTGGCATCCTCCAACAGGCTGCTGGGTGACTTGTCCCTCTGCTTGCGGGGCAGTGCGGGAGACCCACTTGTTGGCTGTGTGCTTCTGATAAAACCTAGGCAGAAGAAACAAGCATGAATCTACAAAATCAAACTCCACTTCCACCTCCCTGTCCTGCAGTGGGCTTTATGGGCCTGGCAAGTTCAGCTGCCCAAGTTCTGCAGAGAGACAGCAAGAAGGGAAGGTAACACTTTTGTTTTGTTTTTGTGTGAGGCTGGTGTGCCATTCATTTTTTTAACTTTTTTTTTTCTCTCCTGCATGTGTGACTTGTTTGTTGTCTATACTGAGGAGGCCACTTAGGAGAGAGCTCAGGGGAAAATGAAGTTGCTCTTTTCTTCCAGCTTCTTATTCCCTTCCTGTAATTTTTGCTTCATTCCCTAAACACCACAAACATAAAAGAAAATCTCATTGCACCATAAACTTTAATTTTGAAGCTGTCGTTTAAAAAACAAACAGCAGAACTAAATTTAAAAAAAAAAATACAGTGGAATTTACTGAAAGAACACTGAACAATCTGCAGTGTTTTCTATTCACTAGTAAATAACAGGGCTGCTGAGGTGGCCATATGACACAGCAGTGCGAAGCACCTTCCCATGTCACACTGGTCCATTTTCTTCTGTTCCTCTGGTCATTTATACCAGCAGCAAGATTATCTCAGAGCACGTGGCCTCACTGCCACTGTCCCAAGGCCCATACCTGGTGCTGAGCTGGAAGCTGAGTGCTCTACAGTATCTTGTGTTCCTTCAATATTCTCCTTGTTCTCCGCCTGTTTCTTCAGTGTTCTTGTCTTGGAGGGAAGCATGGGCAACCGGGGCAAGTAAGGAACTATGGATGAGGAGGAGGCTGTTCTTCCAAGCTCCTCTGCTACCTCTGTAGGGGGGAAAAAAAAAAAAAAACAACCAAAAAAGGAAATAGTTGGAACAGAGACAGCAGTAGAAAAGAAAGCCTGGATCCTTACTGCAAACCGAGACTCACAAGAAGAGATACAGGACTGAGAAATATGTATTTATGGATTTAGTTTCTCCTCAGAGCTGGAAGTATTCAGGCTAAGTAATACGTCTTTCATAATGCTTTCAAACTCATTCACATCTTTATAAATTTGGTAAAAACCACCAGTGGTAGGATCTGTAGAGACTGAGCTCTTTCCTGGGTTAAGGGCTGCTCAAGAGCTAAAGCCAGTACTGAATCCATTTGCCTCTGTTTTTAATTAAAGAGCCTCCTGTTGCTGCTCCTGGGATCCCCCAAAAGTTGTGTCCTCTCTGAATCTGGCTCTACACTGCTTTGCTTGGGTTAGAGCACTGCACCTCCCTATTAGAAATGAAGACTACATGGTTCCCTCTCAACATTGGCACAGGGTATGTGATTGGGAAAAAATAAAAAAAAAGGCAAAAAAACCCTCAACAAACACCTACACCCTCCTGGCCATACCCAAGTTGGCATTTGTGTGAGTCATTTGATATGTCTGTTTAAGATCCTCCCTGGTAAAATTTGGCCTGGCATGCTTTTTGTATAGTAGGGAACTGAATGGATCAGCTTCGTATTTAGTTTAAAATTTAGAAAATGCTCAGACATTTCTGCTTGTCTGCTGCCTAGTATCACACATCTCACCAGTATTTGTTTTCTGCAGACTACAATCCCTCAAATTGTACTAGGGGTGGTTTAGGTTGGATATTAGGTAAAACTTCTTCCCCGAAAGGGTTGTCAAGCCCTGGCCAGGGCAGAGGAGGAGTCCCCATCCCTGGAGAGGTTTAAAAGTGGTGGAGGGGTGGGGCTGAGGGACATGGTTTAGTGGTGACCTGGCTGAGCTGCATTAACAGTTGGACTCAATGATCTTAAAGATCTCTTCCTAACAAAATAATTCTTTGATTCTGTGATTTACGTCTTAGTTGATTATATTTTGAGAGCTGAGTTGCACAGATTCACTCCTAGAAGTAGCTAAGTAGAAAATCTAGAGATTAAGGAACACTTCTTAAAAATGAAGGCCAGCAGAATAATATTTATTGACCTAATTGCTGTAGTCAAAAAGGGACTGTGATGTAACATCCTTCTCTCAGCATCACTCACTACTCCTTACTCTTCAGTCTGGGAAACAAGAAACAGTCTGGGAAACTCCTCTGATAGAGGAGACAACATTATTTACATTAACTCTTTGGCATCCTAGTGCTCAGATAAAACCACTGCCTTGCATTGGTATATGTCTAAAGTTTATTCAGTATTTGTGCAAGTTTATCTGCTTCTGGTTCAAAAATTAATTAAAAGGATGAAGCTCCATTCAAAACCTCCACTGCTTGCAGACAAGCCTTAAGGGCCTGTCCATAAGACATAGCACCTTGGGGGATAACCTTAAGTATTGTTTCAGAAAGAAAGCAACAGGGTCTCTCACCCTCTGAGATGCTTGAGTCATGGAACATAGTTTCAAAAGCCTGGTGGGTCTCGGCAAAGGAAGGTCGGTCTGGTGGGTTCCACTTCCAGCCTGGAATGTGAGAAAGCAGAGTAAGTGTCAGTGCCTGAAACTGGTAAGAGAGAAATTTTAATTCTAAGCATACAGAGAATACCTAAGATTTCGCAACTGCAGTCAGACTCTGATCAACTCCTATTAAATAGTCATTCATGGATATTAATTCTTAGCAGCAGTCAGTCACCCCACCTCATGCTAACAAACAGATCTGGAGAGGAAGGAACCAATTCTAAAAATGCCAGCTCTATGCCAAATCCACAGTGTTGGCTGATCTCTCCATTCCTCCTCCCAAATTTTTTTGGCAAATAAGAATCCCATGTTTGCTACCCTGGCTGTCTGGACTGAACACACCCAGCCCAGTCACAGGTAATTGTGTGTGCAAAGGTCCACACGACATTCTGCCCACACACTCTTAATACTGAAATTCAGGCAGAGCCTTCCAAAAGGAGAATGTGTGCCCCCTGGGGGGGGAAGAGGAAGAGAGTGAACTGATCCAAGACGAAGCTTGGAAAGTTATGGAAGGGTATCATGACAAAAAGCATCATTTCTGTGTTAAAAATCTGCACTAAGGGAATGTATTCTGGAAGCACTGTCTGCTGATAGCACCATAGGATCTGGAAAGTGGCTGGCACTCTGCTTATTTTGGGTTGCATTAATATCATATGAACTCCCTGCTTTTGGGCTTTTGACAGCTTCCTGAAGGTTTTCTGAAGCAATATCCTTCATCATTATCCCGCTTCTCTGTTTCATAACTGAAATTCACCATAACTTTCTTGGACATGCTGGGAATCAGACATCACTGGAGACAGGCTGTAGAATGGCCTCTTAAGGCCTGGTTTGTCCATGTGGGACATTGAGGGCCACAGAGATTGCCCAGCTTAGCACCAAGGAGTCTCTTCCCACTCCAGTCACACTGAAGGGGTCTCTCTGCTCAGAGCTGCTCACCTTACTCAACAGCATGGCCTGGTTTGGTCCCTAGGATCTTTAGCCTTTTGCTCAATTCTCTGCTCTTGCAGGGCTGAAGGAGATTGGCAATGCTCTTAAACTCTGCTGCTCTCCTCCTGTAGCACACTGTATCTTTTGGCCTTTTCTTAGTGGATTTTCCATTTGTTATGGAGCATTAGGGAGCTTTCCATGGCACACTTGGAGGATGTGTGTTGTGCGTAATTTGGTGATTCCATAGTAAGAGTCTTACTGACAAAATACCAGCACAATTTGCCATAAGGTGCTATCTAGCTGTACTTGGCTATGACATGTTTTGAGAGTGAATTCTTGTTCCCTAAAGACCAGACTCAGTTTGCACCAGTCTCCAGGCACATCTCAGGTGACAGGACTTTTTCCACATTAGCTAACAAAACAGCACCTAAGAAGCAAAACCTTCAGAGTTAATTACCCACTTCTCCCATGCCTCCCAGGCTTTGTCCCCCAAACTGGAAGAAGACACTCACATGCTCTCATCAGTTCATAAACCTTTGGAGGGCAGCCCTCTGGTTGTTCCATCCGATAGCCCTTTTCCAGCAGATCATACACCTGAGAGAGGTCAATGCCTGGATATGGTGACATCCCATAGGTAGCAATTTCCCACAGCAGCACCCCAAAGGCTGCAAAAGGAGGAAAACAAAACTCCTGGTCAGAAGTCTGCCCTCCTCTCATGTTGCTCATTACTTTGTGGCCTTTACTGTAGCTTGAGTTAGCCTTTTTTTTGTGCAGATATTTCATGCTAGTCTAGGTGAAGACATTACATGCTAAAAATAATCCTGATTCATGAAGCTGTGGCCTAGTGTGTGATCACCTCCTCCCCACATTTCTGCCCAGGCCAGAAAGCAAGTTACTGTCTAGGCTGGCAAAGAACAACAAAACGAAAAAGAAAAGAACACTGGAGTTTTCTTACCCCAAACATCTGATTTGATGGAAAAGGTGTTATAGGCCAGGCTCTCAGGAGCTGTCCATTTGATTGGGAACTTGGCTCCAGCATGAGCTGTGTAGGTATCTCCAGTCATAAGTCGACTTAAGCCGAAGTCAGCCACCTTCACCACATGATTTTCTCCAACTAAGCAGTTCCGTGCTGCCAGGTCCCTGTACAAAGGAAAAAAGCACACTCCTGTACTGGAGCAAGAGCAGGGCTGTTGAGTACAGTCCTGTGGTCACACAGCCTGTCCTTCTCTTCCAAACTGGAAAACACTCTCTATGCAGCAGGTAAAGGCAACGTAAGCTCTGCTCTGAACAGTGTCAGAAACTGAGTGGACTTATTCTTAGAAGCAACGAGGTAAACCAGGATTAGGGTCCATTCTTTAAATTCTATTACATTTCTGGTAATGATAGCTGTTACGATGAGAAGTTTACGTTTACCGAGAAAAGGATGAGATCAGCAGCACATCTCACACTGGTAACAGCTTTATGGCACAGCTTATCAGACTGGATTAAAATAGGACTTGGGGTTGACAACATCTCACACATAGGGGGTACATAAAACAGGTCAACACCAACTTTCACAGCTGTCAGGCAGTCAAGCATAAGATTGCCATAAAGGTCAGGGGAGAAGGTACTGCAAGATGGTATTGAAACAAAACCAGCCAGTGTATATGTAGTGTGAAACCCAACTCTGGAAGAAACCTCCCCAAAAAGAGGAATTCTTGGGCCTGTTCATCACTGCAATCTGAAACTGTACCATCTCAATGTGACTTCACCCACCTGTGAATGAAGTTCTTCTTCTCCAGGTACTCCATGGCAGAGGAGATCTGGGTGGCCATGTAGAGCAGCACAACAGCACTCACTTCCTCCCGGTTGCACTCCCGCAAGTAGTCGAGCAGGTTCCCAAACGGCATGTACTCTGTCACGATGTAAAAGGGTGGCTCCAGGGTACACACACCTAGCAGCAAGGTGGAGACAGCATGTGAGTAAACCTTCCCTTTCATCCCCAGCTTACTGCTGTTCCTGATTTAATATCCATTGGTCGCATTTTTCTATCAATGAGTGTTTCTGAAAAGTGAAGACTTCTATCTACAAGACCTAGATCAATGCAGCCCAACTTAAAATTCAGGGCTTCTGTCTATTTAGCTGTCCATCCACTTCAAGGATAGAGATAATAACATCTATCAAAGCACTGCTATTCCTATGTAATACATATGAAGGAGTAGTTCTGTTTTTTGGTGGATTAGAGAACAAAATAAGAGTTATTCTGAACACATAGGATTTGCTTTTCTTCCTCTATCTTCCTTCACCAAGCTAACAAGTGGCCAGCTGGAAGTAGGTACCTGTCAACTGGAAAGATTTCCAGACTGAAGTGTCATGACAGAGTAATGTGAAGCACTCCCATGTGTGCTAGCTGGGTAAGTGAGCAGCATGGTGGGACCTGCTCCTAAAGGAGCATTCTCACACATTCCACAGATGACTCCTTGCTACAGTCATTGCAATTATGCACAAAGTATGTATTAGCAGAGGAGGAGGGCAACAGGATACTCGTCACAAATCTCTGTGAACTCCCACTGCTGCACTGCTGAACGCCTGTTCATACCATTACACATGTACAGGAGTAGAACACGACTACACTGGGCATCAGAAAAAGCAAAAATGCATCTCCCCGATGAGAAATCTTTTAGTCTTTACTTCTGGAACCAGACAGGGCTGGGCAGACAATTCATCTGTGTCTGTTTTTTAAATGGACACAGAATAGTTGCCATTATTAAAAGCCTTCACATTCTTCACATTTCTCCTTTCATCCTAGGCTTGGCTTGACAGCTTTGCTCCTGAAAGGAGCAGAAGTCCAGAGGCAATTAAACACTGCTAAGGGTTTAGGGTTCCTCGTTAAGAATCTTTGTACATGTAGAATTAACAGCTATGCAGGCTATTTAATAGCGTTCACCATATCATGCATTTGTCAATGAGACAAGCAGGGCAGAACCAAGCTGGACAGCCTGCAGATTTCTGCCATGCGTGTGCTGTTTGATCTGACTTGCACCTCCACTGCCTGAACCTCATGTACTTATTTGGTGATACACAGGGTCCCTTATGGCAGCAGTGACCTGGTTGTCTTCTGCTTAACTATGGACTAATTTGTTCTATTCAGTGCAGCTTTTTCTATACGTGTTTCCAGTTTGAGAACTATGAAAAACGCCATTTGTTGTGCTTCCAATATAATATTTTCCTTTCACTTGGAATTTTCTTATAATTTTATTCTATCAGAAAAATGTGTGAAAATGTGAAAAAGAATTTTGTAAATCTGATTTAACACAGCAGAAAAGGAATCTGACCCTGGTAACTGAATCCTGGAGCGTGACTAAGGCGAAGGGTACAAACTAACAGGAGGATGATAATGCAAACTTTTACATAATCACAGTCGTGCCCCAACAGCAGTGCTGTCTAGTAATATAAGTGACTATATTTGATCTTTTATTTAAAATGTCTCTTAGCTTCAATACCACATAAAGGAGTAAGCTGTCAAAAATACCACCCCATAACATGACCTGATTCAAAAAGTTATATAAAAACAGAAAATCTGCCACTGCTTTTAAACAAGACGGATTTCATTTTGGTGGAAACTCAAGTAAAAACACAAAGAGCAAGCAATTTCACTAACCTAACAACTGCACTAGATTTGGGTGCTTGATCTCCTTCATCACAGCAGCTTCCTTCAAGAACTCTTCCACCTCCATGGTATCTTCCTAGACAAACAGAGAGGCAAAAAAATTAAAAATTAATCTTTGTGACCAAGGTCTGCTTAACACCACATATCTGAGCAGAATATAAACAACAGCATCCTTAGCTCCATTCTGCTCTTTTGGCTTTTATCAAAGCAAAATATAACAGCCCTGAAAAGCTGCCTGGCTGGCCTGCAGTGTGGCCAAGTGACAGATCTGCAGTACCCAGAAAGTGCTAGGCTTTCTTCTTTGGCAGCCATTGTGGCTACCAAAGCAGTTGTGGCTGGTGAGAGGAAGACTCTCAGGATCACTGACTTAGTTCCCCTGCCTAGCTATGAAAATTAAGCTTGAAGCTTAATTTTAGTAGCTGTTAATGTTGAAACATACAGAAGGCTTTGAAAAGGAAGATAAATGGAGAATCTGAACTTTACGAGGAATAGGAGAGAGGTTGTAGAAGGTATTTCCAACACCTTTGATTTCCTAAACTGTCCACAGTTCCTCTGAGGGAAGGGAGGCCGACTTGGTAACCATTTTTACAGGTGTCACTTGGGCATTCCCACAGGAGCTTGCTAAGCCAAAATTCCAAATTCTTTCTGAGCCACATGCATTGGTGCAAGTTCGATAAACTTTGTTCTGCAAAGCTACTCTCAAGTATGGATTTTATGCAGAAAAGCACACTCAATTTTCTGATATTCATATCACTAGGAGGCATAACTGAGAACATGTAACTTCCTTACCCTTATCATAAATGGTGACCAAATGAACAGTGGATGACAACCTGAAAACTCACCTTTAATGTTTTCACAGCAACCGTGAGATTGTATTTCTTCCAGACACCGACGTACACCTCGCCATACTGCCCTCCCCCAAGTTTGTGCTTCATGGTGATATCAGTCCGCTCCATCTCCCACTTGTCATGGATGGGGGACACCCCATAGACAGTGGGCTTATTGCACTTGGGTGCTGGGTAATGCAAAGTTGTTACCAGTCCATCTGCTACTGTTGAGTGGTGGTGTACGAGCTCGGCCAGCGTGCTGAAACGGCTTTCTGCGGTCACATAGACCTGTTACGAGTGAATCAGGAAGCTACTTAAATGAAGGCAGCTGGAAGCTACCAGTGACACTGGAAAACAGGTACAGTAAAAACATTAAAGCAGGCTCAAAAAAAACCCAACAAAGGTAAGGGAACCAAACTTTAGACTATTTTTTCTCAAGTTGTTGGGCAAATGGGTATTAATCTGTGGAATTTTTACCTGCAGCTAGATCTAGCCTATCAATTGAGAGCAGAGCTGTCTCCCGCATTGTCCTTTACAGGACTAGAAGCTGCAATTCTTGTAGCCAAGTGCAAGGCCAGTTTCTGCATCGCTCAACACATGGTACTGTTACTTGATCAATGTTTCACAATGTTGATCAGAACTGCTGACTTACCAGAGCTCTGCTTGTTCTACGTGGATCAATAGGAAGACACCACTGCTTTGCTCCCTAGCTGCTGCCAGCCAGGGTAAGTACCACATGCACTTCTTCCAAAGTGCTGTTCAGTGAGTTACCATCACACTCTTAGCACACATGTTTTTTTTTTTACATGAATCAACCAGTAGACGTGTTTTCTCTCATACGCTCCTCTCTTAGCAATCTGCAGCTTAATTAACGTCCTTATTTCCTCTCCCCACAGCGTTGTCCAGAGAGCCTTACCTTCCCATCTGAGGTGGTGTTGATCCTGTAGTGGTAAACACGTCCCTCGTACCTGAGCGAGATGGACAGCTGCCCCGGGCTGCTTTCGCTCTCACGCACCAGGAAGCTGCCGTTGATGAGACTGCTCAGCAGATACTCTGCTGCACTGCGGGACACCGGCCCGTGGTACCAGGAATGCTTTTCCAGGCTGTTCACTGGTGTGATGTAGTTGCTCGGCACCCAGCCCTGCCCGTTCTTCGACCGTACCTCGCTCCATTCACCATTCTGGTTGTAACCCAGGACTCGCAACTTCTCACCTGCGACCAGAAAGAATAAAGCAAACTAAGCACAGTGCGAGCCATTGGGTCTCATTAAGGGAGAAACCCACTGTCAGCTGACTAGCCTGGGTTTTTAATTTAACAATTAACAGATATAACAAAAAATAACAAAAAATCTGCAGCAGTGATGTTATAACTAAACTGCTAAATAGAAACTCTTTATGAAGCAAATTTTCAGACAGAATAACAAGGATACTGTTCCCTGTTTACTGCAGTGTGATTGATGAACTCAAAAAGCTTCCTGTAGTCCAGCTTTTTAGACTAGAAAGACTTCTCTTTTTTTCTTGGAGGGATGAGGTTTTTCTCCTTTTTGAAGGCTTAAATGGCATGCGATTTAAAACAGTTCTGCGGCAGGTCATATTCTGATACGGGTACTGAACACAAAGAGAAAATCTTTGTGCAATCCTTTATTGTTGATTTTGCCCCAGTTGAAAGAACTGAATTCTGTTACCATCAGTAATGGTTTTCCTCTGCCCCTCTCCAAAATAGGTGTCTTGCGGGGCTGATGGTCTGGGGAGCCTACAAGGGGCACAGCTGCAGTTGAGCTGGACTGCTGGGCACTGTCACACAAACCTGGGTCTGTACTCAGCAGGCTGCCCGGCAGGTGTCCCTCCAACACAAGCGAGAGAGAGATCATCTGCTTACAACCCTGCTTAGGGAGTCATCCGCCCTCATTCCTTTCCCTCCCAGCAGAACAACAGGAGAAGGATTCTGCTTTCTGTTACTGTTCTCAGCCTAGTAGCTGCTCTGCGATTCACAGCCTTACCTTTGGTGATGCTGAGCGTGTTGTCACCGCTTGCTACAAAATCGTAAAGTGCAACAAAGAGATTGGGATCGCTCTCAGTGGCTCCAAGCAGGTTCTCCTTGGAGCTCCATCTGATGGCTTCATTCAGTGCCTGGGGTTCAACATCGCAACCATAGGGGCGGTGCAGAGCCTCTGAAAAGAGAGAAGAGGAAATCACCTTGTGTACAGCTGTAAATAGATCAAAAACTAGCGCAGAGCAGAGCAAAGCTCCTACTGCACAATATGGTCTTTATGGAAAGGCAACACCACACCTGCACATCTTAGATGACTGGTTTTCATTCCCTGCTTTGCTGACTCTTCGTGCAGTAGGTTACTTCTCACAGTGACTGGAGAAGGTGATGAACTGCCTATATACCAAGTTGCAAGCTATGTATATAAAACTTCTATTTAATATTTTTTATATATAATTCTATGTGTATACATCGTTATTTGAAAGTATTTAAGCATTCATAGGTAAAAAATGGGTGAGAAATTAAGTGCTTTTTTATTATGTGAAGTAGTAAAGGAAAACGTCAATGAAATGCCCTGAAATGTTATGGTTTATGTATTTATTGTTCCTGTGGCTGCAATAGATAACCTGGATCTGAAACCAACATTACAAATACAGGTGTGACAGACTGAAGTATAACCCAAATGAGAGCTATAGGTTGGGACAGTAACAGATCGAATATTGGCAGAAATCATGGTGTTTTGTAATAAATTTCAAGACTGTGCAAATAGAAGTCTGTCAAGGACAAAAAGTAGTAAGGGTGGCTCTAGGTATTTAACAGCAGTGTTTCTGAATACCCAGGCAGTTCTATTTGGCTATTTCGAAGGACAACTGACTCAAACTTGATAGTACAAGGGACTGGGGGGAATCAAACTTGTTTTAAAGACACAAATAAAAAAAATCCCCACAGTTCCTATCATGATAAAAAAATCTAGACACACAGGGTTTTGGAAAGAAATGCAGTAAAAAGCAAAACTGTCTGAACACTTCATGGTAGTGCTATGCCAAGACTATCATTGGGTTTCTAACCTATAGAGAGGTTTTCCATGACCATGTAGCAGAACAAATTTGAATATTAAGACACGAGAAAGAGTGATGATATAGGTTTACATGTGGGCTGCTCAAGGACAAAAAAATATGAAGGTGTAAAGATATAAATATCTTCTCCGATGGCAGAACTGACGTAAGTTCCCATCCCAACATATATTTCTGAATTCTCTTTTTGAACTGACTTATGGAAATGTATGCTGCAAAGAGGTTTCATTAAATGCACTAAACATACAAAGTCCTCCTTAAAAAGTTGTGCCTTTCTTTGCTTTACAATCATTGTTTGGGCCCACTTCTAAGGGGCTGAGAAGTCAGGCTCAGGATGTTTGTAACATCATTGGCACACACGGCCAGACGGTGTGTGCACACAGCTACCCAGTTCCCCACACTCCCACCAGATCTGCGTTCGTGAGCGAGAGCTGGTCCGTGAGGCACTTGAAAAGAGAACAAAGAGCTCAAATGCAATACAGGATGGGAAGACTGGGAAGTCAGCAAAACACAAAATAGGAAGAGGCCTGTGCCAAGTAATAGGCAAACATGCCAAATCTGTGTCACAGGACTGAGCTCAAGCCTGGAAAATTGGGACATAGTAGTTTTTTTCCCAGCATCGCCGTGACATCTTTTGACTGTACTGCAGGCACGTGAGAAAGTAAACAGTTGAGGTTTGTTCTGTTTAGTGTTTTGTTTTTTTTTAAACAGGTAGCTAAGTGGTCTTTAACTGCATTTCTGGTACTTATTCAGAGCTATACAGCTTGCATAACCTCCACATCCTGCACTTACTTAATAACTTACCTCCCGAACCTTGCAACATAGCCCTCTATCAAAGTTCTCCTACCAAGAAGTGACTAGAGATTAAGCTACCAAAATGTCACTGTCTGCAGATGCAACATTTACATATGCCTCTTGTTCCTAACTGTTAACTGCAATTAGTTTTACAATACATTAACCCATCAGACTGGGTGGTGTCATGGAAAAGAGAGGAAATCCCAATGCCTGCTCAGCTACCTACATTATAGTGCGGGTGCCAACATCCCACTGTAATTTTTTAGGGCTGTGTGCATATTCATGTCCAGTTGTTAAGAACCAGGGAAGAACACCAGTTCCTAAATCCATTGCTCTCTACAGAGTAAAAATACATATTTAATTAAATAATACATTCTTCATAGTCCTCCAGTGACTTGTGTTAAAGCGTTTCAGTGCCTTAAGCAAAGTCACTCAATGAATGTGCTATACAAGGAATCTGGCTTACGCATCTCCGCTAAGGAGCAAACACAGGAGTAGGCAGGGCTGCCAACAAGTATCAGACCTCGCAACTCCAAAATATCTCAGTGGTGCTTAAATAACTTTCAATTATGTACCTGCCTAACTGTGAAAGGCTTTAAACAAAAATATATGCATTTGTTCTAAATCAGAGTGCACTTTAAGATTCCTTCCCAAGCCAAGATGCTCACAAACTGAGCATTCAGCTGATTTGCTGCAGCAGATCCCACGACCAGCTCAGCCTGCCCACCCTGAGCCCCGCAGCGGGCACTTTAGCCAAGCAAGACCAGCAGAAATACCACTTGCTGCTGAGCAGCTCTGCCCACACAAAACCATTTGTGGTGCCGTGCCGGATCGCTAGCGAGGATTCAAAGCAGATGTGGGACTGCTACCACTTCCTCAAGAATGCCCAGGAGGCTGGCCCATGTTCTTAACACCCACTTTGTGTACAAAAAAAAGCTGACAGAAGTTAATGTTTGATGAGGAGCAACAATCACTTAGCTACTGCACTTACCTAAAAATCACATCACCCAAAAATCAAATGCTTTTAAGAGCTCATGTCTTGCTAACTTCCTTCACTTTCATTTTTAGAGTGACTTGGATGCTTAAGTAACTGTAAAGGTTACCCAGTATCTACTAAAGAGGACTTTACCAGCATATAAGCATACCTATTGCAGGATATTATTACATAATAACTTATGCTGCTCCATCCAGTGTGGAACCTACACTGTCCAAAGTGTGTGGCCATGGAAGGTCAGTGAAACACGATAATCGCATAGAACTCACCAAGGAAACGAAGATAACCAAAGCATAAAGCGTATAATAAACAATACCCCTTCAACTGAGTAGTCTGCAAGCTCAATTCACACAAAGAGCAAGGAAATGAGCTGCGAAGTTCTGGTTTGTATCAGCTCCTTTTAAAGGCTCAGCATAGATCACATATTACCACTTTCATTTCCTATACAATGGAAAACTTACATCATCGTGCAGCGTACAAGTAATACGAGGCGGTTGTGCTTCATCCATCTCCTTCCTTTCCTTTATTCCCACAATACAATTTGCTGCTCTCCGGATATGAATGCTTTTCCTTACAGGCAACATGTAGGGGTGCTGTGTCCCCCCCAACCCTGTGCTGCCAACACTGCAATTACCAATCTCTTCCATCCCAGAACAGGAGGTGGTATATGCTAAATCTTAAATTTCAGAGTCACCTCAAGTGCTTAAGAGGTCTCTATTTTTGAAATATTAGCTGTGTAACTGTTCATAAAAATGAAGCATTTCAATAATCCTAAAACAGAGACAAAAGCAGGGAACCTCAGTCCTGCCTGTGGCTGGTCTCCTACTACAAGAAAAAGCTAGACCTGAAAGGAGCCAAATCCTCCTTGAAGCAGAGAAATACAGGAAAGGGATAGCACAGCGTTACATCCCTGAGCATCATACCTGTGAAACTCATGCCAGGCTCAGAGGCTTCCTCGCCAAGGCAGCAGAGATGCTTGCCTTCTTTTCCATAGCTGCTAGACTGGAAGAGGACTGTCCCCACAATCATGCTGTGCTTCGCAGCAAGCAGAAGAGGCTGCTTGACCCCTGTCCTGGGCTGCCCGTGCCAGCAGAAACGCCACCACGTGCAGACTGCTCCTGCTCCCGAGGCTGGTGGCCAATGAAGAAAGCAAGTGCTGCAGAGCCGGCAAAGGAGAGACTGGGAAAATCAGCTGTGGGTTAATGTCGTTGTTAGCTGGAAGTGAGGGTGGAGCTTTCCAGGGAACGCTGAACAAACAGAGGATGTGGGGACTGGATGGCAAGTTGAAACAGTTTTGAGATGAGCTATGAAGACAGAGTTTTGTTCCACTAAGAGTTAGGCAACAAAGTGTTTGGGAAGAAAGCAAACAGTTTGCTTGGAGATATTCCTTTGTTCAAATTACAAAACAGATCACCCATTAAGGGATCACCCAGCTTGATTCATTTTTCCACTCCACATGTCATTGCTGGAGCACTATTTACATGAATCAACAGGAAGCGTGTTAGTGAAATGCCCTTCTATGAGACGTAAGAGTGCTGAGCAAATAAAGACCCTTAAACATTTTAGGATTTCAGAAAGAAACAGAAAGCAAGGGCAGTACAGTCCTCCCAGGCCAAGCTGCATAGTTGCTGATCTGGTAAGACTCAGGAGAGCTCTCTGAAAGGACACCACGAAATTACCCATTAAAAAAAAAAAAATGGTTCTTTGACAGGGAAGGGTTAAAGAACAAGCCACCACCACAGCAGCCTCACACCTGGGAGGGTGGTGGGCCTGCAGAGGGGTATAATGGAGCAGAGAAAGGTAAGTCAGTGTGTTGGCTTTTGCAGGGGGAGAGGAGCTGTTGCAGCCCAGCTAGGGGGGCAAGCAAACTCCACCATTCTGTGGGAAAGGCAGCTGCACCGTGTGATGAGGGCTCAGATCGGCCCAAGGGTAAGAAATGAGCAGCCTGGCTTATTCCAAATGTTTGTGTTTTATAAGGTTGGGGATGTGGAAAAACACTGTATAAAACTGTGGATGTGCTGTGGTGATGAGGAGTTGCTTTTCCCCATGTGGCCTGTGACATGAGTTATTTCCCCTGCCCCCATCACCTTGTTTATGTGGAAATAACAACTAGACAAAGAAAATACTTGAGGATATATAGACACTGTTGTCTTCCTAAAGTTCTGACAAGCGGGTGACCTCCTTTCCTCTTCCTCCAAAACCAAGCTTGGTGAATCCTGGAGCATGCTACCCAGTATTTAGAGGTTAAGATGCATTAACTTCAGAGCTCCTACTAAGCTTTCTCTCTTTTCCTCTTTGCTCTTGTCTGGGGCAGCTTATTATTTTTTCCTCTCTCTTATGTGCTCTGAGTATTCTTAATTACACCGGTATTTGTTCTAACCTGTGTGTATCTATTAATGCACAAAGAATAAGTAGAATTTGTAAGGAATGGCAATTAGCCTCAGGAACATGTGGATGAGTGTTATGACAAACAACCTTTTCAGGTAAGTCTGAAATGGTACCAGGAAGTGGCAAGTTACATATGATGGATCTCTGACTAAATTAGTCTTAGGTGTTAATAGTTAAGAAAGTTAACAAGCTATTTACTTGTTAGTTAAAATACAACAGATGAGTAATTGGCTTCTGTCACAAAGAAGGATTAGCAGAAAGGACTAATAATGTAGCTTGCCAATATATCTATTGACCCTGCCAATTTTACCCTGTCAGAAGAGTTTCCTTAGCCAAAGCCTAATGGCTGGCTCGGCTCTTCACGAGCTCCTCATGGAAAATAAGTAGTAGCCAGCACTGGTATTACGGATGAGTAACATTTTGGCTGTAACTGGGCAATTCTGTGCCTGCACCCTTCCAGACACCCTCCTGAAGGTCCATCTCAGTGGTAAGGACACAGTGGTAAGCCCCTGCGGTGTGCAGCTGTTCGTAAGATCCTGTCAAACGCACCTAGGCAGAATAAAATTGGGCAGCTTTCCACCTTCTAGATGACTGTGCAATCTTTTACAGTTGATTTTCCTAGACAGCTATTTTATACTGTAGGCCATCACCTGGGCATCTACATCCTGTTCCTATTCCCTTCACAATAAGTGCACAATATGAAATCTTAATTCTGGTATACTCAACTTCCTCGGTGGAAGAATCCACCTTCCAGGCACAGCAGCTCTTCCCTGCTCTTTAGACTACTCCCTGTGGTGCCTTTCCAAGCTGTTTCTGAGAGTGGTTACCCTTCCTGTACAACTTAAATCATCCATTTAGAAGCCTTCTTTAGTTCTTCCAGTGGTGGGAAAAAGTTGAATATAAAGAACTCTTGCTGACTACACTATTTGACGTGTACAGTTCAAGGAAGTTTCTAAAAAATCTGTTACACTCTGAATTTCTAAATCAGCTGCTGATTTCTCTTAAATAAAATAATGTGTATATGGAAATACAGCTCTGAAAAGGATTTGGTGGTGTTGGCAGCAGACAAAAGTGATTTGTTTGTCAACGGAAGAAAAAGAGTCAAAAGGTTAGAGGATAACTACTGGTTATTGCATACAGTCTCAATCTGCTACCTTAGCATTTTAAATCAAAACCCACTGGGTGTATATGTGTCTATGTACATACATATACACACACACAGTGTTCTACCTCCTGGCTTCTTACATGCCTCTTGCTCACAAAGGGACATTTGAATACAAGGCCACCAAGATGCCTGTGGCATACGCTACCATCTGTCACTTTAGTTTGAAAACTCTTAAGTGAAAACAAATACCAATATAAGCACCACCAATGCTATTTTACACACAGTCTTTTTTTTTTTTTTTTTTTTTTAAGACTAAAAAAGAATAGGCATCAGTCAACTTAGAGCATGGAAACGAGCCCATCAAGTAACCAATGACTGCTAATATAATTGGTATTTTTCACTGCATCTTCAAAACACGCATTGCTTTACACCACTAGACTTCAAGATCTTTAACCAGCTTGCTAGTAGGAGGATTTCTGCCTTAATGAATATGAGGAAACAAAACTGATAACACAGCAGCAAGTGGGTTTCCTATTTTGCTGACATGATTGGAACAGTATCAAGTTCTACAGTAGCTTTGTTTCTTAAGCCAAGTCTCAGCACTTCCTACTAACCAAAAATACTCAAGGCAAACTACATACTAAAAAGTAAACCAATGCAGAACAGGCCAAGTTCTTGCTGTCAAATAACATGGTAGCAGAGAAGCAGACCTATGAACTTTCTTTACCCTGTAACAGACTTCAGCCCTTACCTAAATGGACCACCTAGTCTTTCTGCTGACATAGATGTGGCCATGAAAAACACCAGTTTGAAAGGGTCAGGCAGCTCACATATGGCTTTGGTAAATGCAGGCAACCTAACTAAATGTTGTTCCTAGGTGCTCCCCTCCTGCAAGCAACCAGACTCTTAATAATGTGGTTTGCTTGAGCTAGGCGCAGATACGTGGTTAGTCTTTGGGCCTCCCACAGAGTGATGCAAGGTTTTAAGTACTGTAAATAACCCAGTGAATAAAGCCAAGAAATACAGCTCCAAGCCAAGAACTTGGGATGGGCAAGGAATAGGTTTCTATTTATGGTACCAAGCTGGGAGAGACAGAATGGGAGGAGATTTCAGAGTCGGTGACAAAATTGCATCATGAACAGCTCACATCATATAAAAAGAAATGAAGCAAGACTAGCTTGGCTTGAAACAACTATCAAAATAAATCTGAAATAGAAAAGGTTAATAAAAGTGATCTTTGGCACTGGAGAAAGAAATGAAGAAATGGAGAATTCTAAAAGCTCTCCATACACCTCACATCTTAGGAGCAGATTTACATAAACTGCTGCATAGGATACTTCCCTAGATTTATTTAATTATTAAAGTGGTGCTTCTTTACCTAGATGATGTGCTTTTTGGCTATCTTGATATAAAAATCCAAGGGAAGACAATGTTTGGGGTTTTGGTGTTACTGAATTTTACTTGGTAGGAGAGCAACAAATTGATCCCAATTGGTGTCACCGAGACATTGTCTCTCTACCTGAACATTACAAGAGGTTAGCTGTGTTAAGATTTAAAAACATACAAACCAATGTTGATAGAAGGGACTGCTTGTCTTGTTTCACTGGTTCCAGTTATCCTCTCCCTTTGCTAGTTGTGCTGTCAAGCAGAGGTGTCCCTTGGCCTGCGTCTGCTCAGACATCAGTGACATGTGTACCATTTCTCTCACTACCAACCTATTTGCAGCACTTCCCTATTTTCCTCCTCAACTCATTTCTGGTAAAGAAGTATCTTTTTGGTGCAGAATCCAGTATGAAATAAATCAAGCTTAAGCTTCAAAGTATTCACTTGAAAATCTTCATTCATTCCTTGTTGAATGCAAGATGCATAAATCTCTTCATAGATCAACAGCTGTACAGGCTGTAAGTGACTAAACCTTGTACTGAAGCATTTGGTGGCACTGATGTCTTAAGACAGAATTTCAAGGTAGATGAATTTCGTATAATTTCATTACAAACACTGGTAAATTAATAGACTGGCTCTCATTACCTCTAAGATTTTCTGTCCTTGCAATACTTTGGCGGGAAAGTGACTCTGGGATAAACGCAGCTAGCAAAATGATGCAGGTTATTAGGTGTATTTAAAAAGCTCTAGGGTGAGGAACTCATGTGAGTACAAGAGAGCTGGACCTAACAGTTATTAAAAGGTACAATGGATGTTTCTTCTTCACAGGCACTAGGAGTGGTCAGAAGAATCAGAATCCACCCAAAGTACCAATCTAACTTCTTTGAATGTGCATCTGGGCAAGGAACCAAAACCCAACAGCACAACAGAAAACAAGAAAAACACTTTCCTGAAGTGAAAGAGATTTTAATGCAATTAAAATAATATACAGAACAAAAAGCTACACACAAACTCTTTGCAAAATCCTGAATACTGTATCAAAGCATTTATCACCTTAATTGCTAAGGATTTATTCAGCTCCTACAAAGCTAGTCAGCTTTGCAATTACTGGTATCTAGAAAGAAGTAGAGACCCCATCAACTTTCTCTGTATT